TTTAATCTTATTTAATTACTTCTTAAGTATTTTTTTCTTAAATGGAAGAAGATATTTGCGGAATGTCATCATAATTATCTGTTTTTTTTTCTATGATTCAATTAACACTCTAAGTATAAATAAAAATAAAAATTGAATAAAAAACAAGCTAAATAAAAAATCTATTAGACTAAAAAATTTATAAAAATTATAATTTCAATCTAATCTGGTCAATAATAAAACTAACTATACAAATATTACAATAATAATAATAATTATTATTATAATCCTTACAACTGTTTTTACGTATATAAATTGAATAATTATTTTTAAAAACCTGAGGCACATATAATTTGTAATTGAATTTTATTTATTAAAAGGTACACTTTAAGTCTTTATTAGTGTATGTTTTCCATTCTGGACTCTGTATAAAAAAGAAGAAATAAAATAGCCTGTAACAAGCCCTGTAAAATTGTAAATTTATAAATTTAATAAATTATTTTAAAATCTAAGTACAGTACAAGTTTCTTCCCCTTTTTTTTTTCTTTCTCCTGAGTAGGCTGAGTCTCATTTTTTCTTACTCTTACTCGCTTAAATTTTTTTAAATTATAAAATTTATAATTTTACAAATTAACAGGAGCTTTTACAAGCGTAAATAAAAAAATGTCTCGCTCCCTGAATTATTATTATTTGCTTGATATAAACAAAAGTTTAAACAAGACTGACAATTCCCATTTATATTCTTCGCTTGATTTTTTTTTTTATGAATATGTACAATTTTAATATTATATATTTAAAAAAAAAATAATTACAATTACTTAAGAAGAAAAGTAAAGTCTTTGATGATAAGTGATGTATATAATTTATAAATAAATTATACGGAATATAAATAAGAATCGAGTTTAGTTTTTGCGTTAGGTGGTGATGTGAAAGGTGAAAACCATGCGATAGAAAATCGTCCAAATACAGCCTGAAGAGATTTCCATCTACTATTTCGTACCCACCTAGCTTCTTCTTTTTTTAATTGTTCAATGCCCTTTTAATATAATTATAAATCATTCATTATTTTATTAATTAACAAGTAATTACTTAAATGGAAGTAATTATAAAGATAATTACCGTTTCGTCATTCCATATTGCTTGTAATTGAGTTCCCAACATAACAACCGTAAAAATAGCAAAAAGTAGAGCTTCAAATGTTAAAAATAATAGTAATACAACTGTTGCTGGTGGACTGAACGTCGTACAGTCACGCCATTCTTGCCGTACGCACATTGTAAATTGTTGTATGCACAAGAATAGTGATTGCAGTGATATACCGGCAATGTAAAACTACAGAATAATTTTTTTATTTTATTATTATTGGTAAATATATTGAATATAATTATAATATAATTGAATCTGAGACTTACAGTGAATAGGACGAAATATTTTTGATTGTTTTCACCGACACAATTATTCACCCATGGACAGTGATGATCCATTTTTCTTATGCATCTGTTGTAATTTAATATTTTTAACGAATTAGTGATTTTATCGGATTGTTTTATTAATTATTATAATACCTGATATTTATAGAAATTATTTTTAATTATTTACTGTTTAATATATTTATATATCATTTTTATAAAAATAAACTTTAGTGTAAAATATTTTTAAATTAAAATTTTTGATTATAATAATAATAATAATAATAATAATAATAATAATTATTATTATTGTTGTTGTTGTTGAAAAAAAATGGAATGATAATAATAAATTAACTTTCACCTTTGACAAACAGAACAATGATGAGCACGATCAGGTTTTATAGAACAACATCTTGGACATTTGAATATAACTTGACCATTTCTAAATCCCATTTGTTGTAACATTTCCTTGGTAGCGTTACCTTTTGGTACTGCACCCTTAAATGTTATCATGTTCGTGATTATTATTTAAAAATTTTATTTTTTATAACCACATTTACAGAATAATTTATTATTTAATATAAAAAAAAAAAAAAACCAGCAAAAGAATTACAATTCTAAATAGAATTTATCGAAGCTGAGCAAAAAAAATAGTTAAAAATTGAATTTTTACAATCTTAGGATTTTATTTTAATAGTGACTGTTCATACTAACCACCTTGCAGTCACTACGTGACTGCCGTGATTTGTGAACTATGAGTAAATAAAATTTTGCTTTATTAAATAATGAATTTTGTTAAATTGCACTGTACATTCTTAAATATTGACGTATTTAAAAATATAAGCTCATCCCGATGTTACACTTATCAAGACCTTCCATTTGAGTACCCACATGCATTTTGATATATTTTTCATATATACATATATGTAATATATATAAATATATGAAAAATTGATGTGGGTACTCAAATGAAAGGTCTTGATGAGTGTAACATCGGGATGACCTTATATCTTTAAAAATGTCAAAAATTAAGAAATTACCTTGTATCTTGTGAACTAGTGATATTTTCAAAGATATAAGCTCATTCCGATGTTACACTCATCAAGATCTTTCATTTGAGTACCCACATGCACTTTTCATATATTTTTCATATATGCATATATATGATATATATAAATATATTGAAAGGTCTCGATGAGTATAACATCGGGATAAGCTTATATCTTTAAAAATGTCAATATTTTACAAGATACACGATCATTCCTTAATTATGTATCTAGAGATAGAGAATTTTCGAATGCAGCCTAAATACTTATCATAATAAATTGACCAACAGTGAGAATGATATATGAAACCTTGAAAAGGTACAAATTTGAGTCAAGACCTTTGCAATGGCACTAAATTTTATTAAAAAACCGATTTTATCATATAACTATCCTTGAAACAAAATTTCTCTTATCTTCTTAATAATATACATGTAAAAAAAAATTCTAATTTTTTTTTGCTCGGCGCTTTTATTGATACAACAGAATCTTTTTTTATTTGGCCTTTTTTTAAATGTATGGTCTTATGAATTAAATTAAAAATTCTACTTACAGGATCAGTAAACATAGTCCTAAGATGCGAAGCGAAAGCTAAAAATGCCAGGGTTTGAAATATTGCCATATTCAAACTCGAATATACTGTATTTATAGTAGGGATTAATATAACTGCCATAACAACAAACTCCGCATAAATAATTAACAGCCATGTTAGAATAGCGCAAATAATTCCACAAATATCCTGTATCAATTAAAAATTATTTAAATCACATACCATATAATAAAATAATAATAATAGATAAATAAATAAATAAATAAATAATTATTCATACCTTAATACACCAAAATTTACCACCGCAACATCGGTTGTGAATGTCACGTTCTTTTTGAAATGGCATGTACTCATAATCCATTTCTTCTATTAATTTATTTTTATCATCGCCCTTGTAATCATACATCTAAATTTATTATTTTTATTATTAATACTGATTGAATCAAATGAAATAATTATTCACCTAAAATAAAAATAATAGTATAAATAATAAAATAAAAATATAATAAAGGTTACCTTTCTATGTATACTAGTCATTAGAGTCTATAAATAAAAAAAAATAAAATAATAAAAAATCAATAACAATAAATCAATAGCTTATAAAATTGATAACTCGAAAAATGTTGATGATTACTTGAATTATGCAATTCATACATTCAACGAAATAAATAATAATAAGATGGTATTTGCTACATAAAATTAAACCTTTAAAAATATATATCAATATAACCTATAAATAGTCTACTTACATTTTATTGAGTGCTAATTATTTATTTAATTATTTATTTAAATGTCATTTTTTAAATTTTAGTTTTGTTTTAACATTCTAGTTATGAAGATAGATAATTAAAAATAAAAAAATTTTACATCGATAGGACATTGATTTTTTTATAAGTGTTTATTGTTGATGTCATTTAATTTTGAGTTTGACATTTCTCCAGTTAAGACAATAACTCCAATTATTTTATCAATTGTTAAAAAATTAATACTGATTTTTTTTTAATTTAACGCAATGTTGCTTTTTAATAATGTGAATTAACATAATTGTTTCTTAAAGTACATTATAATTGTAATTATTTATTTTTTATCGGAAAAATAGGTATATATTTATATTCCGATTACTGAAACACATAACTCGCGTTCGGATATATTCGGATTCTCTGAAACTACTTCGGATATCTTCGGAATTTATTTATCTGACATTTGTAAACTAGACATTTAATTTCACTTAAAAAATATGACATTAAAGTAGCAGTCACAACCATTGTTTAATTTTTTCTAACAAATAAATTTTTTATGACATTAAAGTTAGCCGACATTTTTAATTTTGCTTAATTTATTAAATTATAACTACAATAATATTTTTAAAAAATTGCACTTATAGTTTTTAAAGTTTTTAACAAATGAAAAAAAATTTTTTTATAATAATTCTTTAATAAAAAAAATCATAAAAATTTTTAGATGTCGGCTTACTTTATTTTTATAAAGTTAGCTGTCACTTGACAAATTTTTTATTTTATTTTATTTAACAATTAAATTAACTCTAAAAAATTATTTTTAAAAAAATTGCATTTTTAATTTTTTTTAATTTCTAAATTTCAATTTTTTTTTCATAATTTATTTATTATAAAATTATTAAATATGCTAAATTAATTTCCATCCTGTTGTATCATAATTTTTTTATTAAAGAAATTCCTAAAATTATTAAATATCTGCTAAATTAATTTTCACTTAAAAAGTCAATAAATTTCCACTTTTGTTATTGAGATATTTTTAAAATTTTTAATTATTTAATTTTGTTAAAATTTTGGTAAAAGAAAAAACACTTTTTATTTATACTAAATTTTTTTTGACAGTTTTAAGAACTGGAATTGCCTTGTGGTGCCATCTGTGTTGAGTTTCAGCAATCATACCGGTATCAATATTTAATATTTTTTTATAAGCTCCATGTGAGTCAGTATAACCTAGTGGATTTAATGAAAAATAGGAAAATTTATAATTAATAAATAATAAATAAATATGTCATTGATAAGGCGAGCACAGGTATTTATTTCTTTTTTTTTTATTAATAAAAATGTGCTGAAATTAATTAAATTATTATTAATCTAGCAATGGGGTTCAATGTCAAGAATTTGGCATATCTATGATGCTAAATGGCAAGATCCTTACAAAAGTGCTGTTTACTTGGTGCCGTTTCTTCAAGGAAAAATTAAACCGATATACGCACCATTGAGTAAGTTTATTTAATAATTTTTAAATAAAAAAAACACTTGGATTTTTTTTTTGGTTTGTCTAAACAATTATGATAGTAAAATTAACAGACACTTAACATTTTTCTTTCAATTTTTATAACTAAATTACTGTAAAAAATAATTCAGTAAAAATATAAAAATTACAAGTGCAATTAAAAAATTTAATCGTTAGGTTTATGAAATAATCAATGCAATTTTTTTTTTAAAAACAATTTTTTTGACCTAGTTTATTTTTTTAATAAAAATAAAAAAAAATAAAAAATTTAAAAGAAAGTATTTTAAAAAATTGTCTTAAAATTTCGAGATGTGAAATTAAAAAAAAAAAAATTTTTTTTTTATTTAGTAAAAAAAAAAAATTGAAAAATCAAGTTTATTATTAAGTACTAATAAAAATTAATTCTAGCACTGGTTGGAGACCACGTCGTAGTAATAAACAGCAAGGATATCGCCCTGAGAGGTGACGAATGGAAAAAACGAGTCTACTTCCACCACACAACTTACCACAGTGGAGATACCTGGACCCTGGCGTGGGAATTACACAGAAAGAACAAAACGATGATCTTCAAAAAAGCCGTGTACCACGCCCTGAGAGGCAACCTTCAGCGTCGTCACACCATGGAGCGTCTGCACATTTTCCCCGACGAAAATGTGCCTGAAGAAATAATGAAGAACGTTTCTAACCAAATCCGACAGCTCAGACCAGTCCCTACACACCTTGACCTTATTCATGAGGAAGTTAAGGAAGAATTTCCCCGAATTATGTCTTACCCTTCTAACTACATCCTCAAGTAGACCAATAATTGTTAATATTATTATTAAATATTCAGTAAAATTTTTAAGATTAATTTTTATTATAAAATAAATCACTAATATCACTAATTATAGAAACCAAAAAAATTTATTTGACAAACATTTTTTTTGCTTTCAGCAATTTATTTCTTTTGAAGATAGATTTTTTTTTAAACTAAATTTTAAAAGAAAAAAATTTTTTCTAATGAGTAAGGTGATAATTATTTCATTAATTAATTACTTAATTAATTAACAAGATTATGGATTACTTTTTTTGTTAATTAAGTGATTTTTTTTAATCCAATGTGTAGTAGTGCGTTTTGTTGAGAACTACTAATTTTCCATTGATGACAGCGGCTGGACCGGTGTAATAACGCCACAACAAACTGCTTCCGCGTTTCAATTGGTTGGTCATTGATAAATGCCTCCAGCAATCCACCCAGGATGAGTAGATAGGCATGTGTGGTGGCTCACCTGCAGCTAGTCCGGAATTAGTGACAGCCATGCAGTTGTACACCACTAAGAATGGATACGTAACTGTTGTGGAGAGGAGAGTCATCAGTGCTGAGACGTATGACATAGACTCCCGGTCATGGACCAGGTATTTGTTAATCAGGTACGTCGAGTAACTGACCAGGGCGATTGTTGATACGTTTGCGATCAGTCGGGGTACTAAGCCTGAGTAGTAACCCATCAGGCCATTTTCTCTGTACACTTCGATTATTGATGAGAATACGCTCCTGAAATATTTTGTTTTTTTAGATAAATATTATCTTTTATATATTTATATATATTTTATATATGTATATATGAAAAATATATCAAAAATGCATGTGGGTACTCAAATGAAAGCTCTTGATGAGTATAATATCACGATGAGCTTATATCGTTAAAAATGTCAATAATTAAAAAATGACCTTGTATCTCGTGAACTATTGACATTTTTAAAGATATAAGCTCATCCCGATGTTACACTCATCGAAACCTTTCATTTGAGTACCCACATCGATTTTTTATATATTTTATATATTTATATATATGTATATATGAAAAATATATGAAAATGCATGCGGGTATTCAAATGAAAGCTCTTGATGAGTGTAACATCGGGATGAGCTTATATCTTTAAAAACATTAATAATTAGAAAATGACCTTGTATGTTGTTAATTATTGACATTTTTTAAAATATAAGCTCACCCTGACTCATTGCACTCATCGAGACCTTCCATTTGAGTACCGACATCAATTTTTCATATATTTATATATTTTATATATATTATATATATGTATATATGAAAAATATATCAAAAATGCATGTGGGTACTCAAATAAAAGCTCTTGATGAGTGTAACCTCGGGATGAGCTTATATATTTAAAAATGTCAATAATTAAGAAATGACCTTATATCTTTTAAAATATTAACATTTTTTGAGATATAAGCTCATCCTGATGTTACACTCATCAAGATCTTTCATTTGAGTACCCACATCAATTTTTCATATATTTATATATCTTATATATATGTATAAATGAAAAATATATCAAAAATGCATGTGGGTACTCATATGAAAGGTCTTGATGAGTGTAACATCAAAATGAGCTTATATCCTTAAAAACGTCAATAGTTAAGAAAGTACAGTGCAATTTAACAAAAGTCATTATTTAATAAAGCAAAATTTTAATTTTTCATATACTATTATTGATATAATTAAAAAAAAAATTTTTAAGCTGTTCATAATTAGACTTATCAACATACTTGTATTTATCTTCACCCCCAACAAATTGTGCCATCATCCTGATAGCAATGACATCCAAGGGATGACAAGCCACGATTCCAGCAACTTTACAAATGGAATCTTTTAAAAATTCACGAATATAAGCTGCTTTTCTGTAATAAAATCCTTGTAATTAAAAAGGACAATTTATAAAATTTAACAAGAAAAAAAAGAAACCTTTTTTCATCAGGTAATTCTTCAATATGTTCATCATCATCCTGAACTTGTGGAAATACTTCAGTAAATAAATAAGAATCACTGATTTTGTCCATAACAACACCATTGATAGTGTAGGCACATATTTTTGGTACCAGACCGCGATAGCAACCAGTAAAGCCATCACATGCTTTTATGTATCTCACTAAGAAAAAAATAATAATAATAAATTAATTAATTAATTAATTTATTAAAAAAAAAAAAACTTACCATACTGAAAAATATTTGGCAGTGATAAAGCTGGCTTTCGGAGAATTAACGTTCTAGTTTCCCGAGGTAATATTGGTTCATGTCCTATTTGTATCAGTACTTTGGCATATTCAATAGGATGTGAAACGGTGTTTAATAACAAACGAGAAACAACATCCGACCACATTTTTTCTTCACGCTTTCGAGAATTAACCATTTTGATTTTTTAATTCAAGTGATAATAATGTCTACCAATAATTGTTATCTATTTTCAATATTCAATAAATTTCTCTCCCGGTGTAATCAATCAGCCCTACTAATTACTCATATATATTGCCAGCATGTATTACATATAATTAGACATGAGAAAATAATTTAAATGAAGAAATATTAAATTTCTCCTGATAATTATCAACAGAAATTATTAATTATTATTTATGTGTCACTCCAAACTGTTAAATCAGGTTAATCCAGGTCCGAGCAGACCCAATTCGGCTCACTGTGGTATGAAAAAATTTTTAGAGATATAAAATCTTACTTACCGCCATTGGTAAATTTAATTAGTTTGCATTTAACTCGACAGGTGGCGCCACGTCAAAATCACGCGAGTTTTCTAGTTTTCTCAACAATGAGAATTAATTTAGCAGATATTTTTAATAAATAAATTAATGAAAATTAATTTAGCATATATTTAATAATTTTAAAAATTTTTTAACAAATTATGGCAAATAATATTGATATGAAGAAATTTAAAAAAATAAAAAATACAATTTTTTAAAACTTATTTTTTGGACGAAATTTATGACAGTAAAGTTAGCAGACTTCTAAAAATTTTTGGTTTATTTTTATTTATTAATTAAATTACAACTAAAAAGATATTTATAAAAAATTGCACTTATAGTTTTTCGAGTTTTTTACATGTGAAATTTTTTTTTAATTGCTTAATTAAAATTTTTTCAATAAAAAAATTTCTAAAAATTTTTTAATGTCGGCTAACTTTATTTTCATATAAAATTTTTTTAATAAAATTAAAAAATTGTTAAGTGACTGCTAACTTAAATGTCAAAATGAATTATGGCAAAAAAATTGACATGTAGAAATTTTCAAAAATTATAAATGCAATTTTTTAAAAATAATTTTTTCGGAACAAATTTATTTATTAAAAAAAAAAAATAAAAATATTATCAAGTGGCAGCTGACTTTAATGTCATTTCTCAACGTTGGTGATTCTTATTATTATTATGGTAATGACATATATTGGAGTTGAATTTATTATGTTATAAATATATCTTTAAGAATGATCAGCTGTTCGGGTCAAGAACAAATAAATTATTATTTTGATATTTTTATTTTTATAAATGTCAAAAAATTTGATAAAAATCAAGTCAGCTGATATCTAAGAAATTTTATTATTTTTTTTATTGAAAAAAATTATTAAAAAAAAAATTTGACATGGAAAATTTGAAAAACTGTAAGTGCAATTTTGAAAAAATATTTTTTATTTCTAATTTAATAAATGAAGCAATATAAAAAAATTAAAAATGGCGGCTCACTTTAGTGTTATAAAAATTTGAGACATTTTTTGGTAAATATAAAAATATATGAAATTAGCAGACACTTGGAAATTTTTTTAGTAATTAAATTATTGTAAACAAAATGTAATTAAACAATTTTATAAGTGAAAATGAAAAAAATTTATTGGTAGAAACTTTCAGAAGGATTTTTTGAAAAAATTTAACAGCAATATCATTTTGTTTTTTTCTTGAAAAATTTTTAGAATTTTTTTATTGAAAAAATATTATTAATAGATAAAATTAAAAAAAATTGATTTTTTGAATCAATAAAAATTTTTGAACTCGAAAAATTAAAAATAGTCAAATTTCTGCTAATTTTAGTATCATTAAAAAAAAAAACTAGGTCAAAAAAATTATTTCTTAAAAATTGCAATCATAATTTTTTAGTTGCTAAAAATAGAATTTTTTAAATGAATTTTTTTTGCTACAATTAATTAGTTTGTTAAAAAAAAGATATGTTCTGAGTAAAAAGTAACTTTTAAAGGTAGATATTTAATAAATAAAAATGTATAATTGATTTTTTCTTTTAGATTTATTGTTCTTATCTGAAGAATAAAAAATAAATTAAATTAAGTCCCGAGATGGTCTTGAGGAAATCTTATTATTATATTTATGACTAAAGTCTTGTACTAAAATGAAATTAAAAAAAAAGAATTTATATAATATATATATAATTCAATCTAATAATCTTGGGCGTATTATTACGGAATAAAATGAAGTAAGTAATAAATAAATAAAATAAATCAATAATTGCCGTTATTAATTTATGTAATCATGAATATTTATTTTAAAAATAAAAACACACCCACATAAATATATAAAAACAAACGTCACGGTATTCTAGATTCTCGATTTGTTAATTACAATTTTTTTTTCAATTACCCTCGTGATATATAACCATTAATGCATCATACCAGACACATCTGTTGTACGCGTGATATTGTTGCAATCACCCCATTTGAATTGTTAATAATTATAATTACTAATCAACTAGATAATATAACTAATAAATACACACATGGATCATAGCAATATGTATTGCTATTATAATTCTAATTGCAAAAATCAACATCAATTCAGCCGGAAACATTAATGAATATTCTTAATATTCTAATTATTGTTATCTAATTATGATTTTATGATATAATACAAAAAGGGGTGTGTTAAAAATCCGCTTATTATGTCAAATTCAATCAAACAAATCTTAATATTTAACATAAAATAATGCTTTGATTTATTGAATTTTTTTTTTTTAGAAAAAAAAAACTATTGATTTATTAAGAATTAATTAATATTTTAATCATGATTGCATTAAAAATCTTTTGTATTGTTTTTTTTTTAAATTCTTCTTTTGTTTTATTACTTTTTAATTAATAGTTTAAGTTTGACCTTTTTTTATTTATGTTTAATGGCCGGAAAAAAAGTTGAGAGCGTGAGAAGAAATATTGACTTGTTACTTATTATTTCTTCTTTTTCTTTTTTTTTTTCAGGCTATGTGGGTGAGTGAATTTTTTTGACTTATATATATCCTTGGAAAAAGGTAAGAATAAAATGGGGATTTACTCAGAAAATACTATACCGAGTTAAGTAGCGTAGGAAAGCTCTTTTACTCGTGATAGGATTGAATATAAAGTCTGATCTTTCATTTTTTTATTATTAATTTTTGAAAATGATTAGAAAAATTTTTATTTCAAGAAAAAATGATCAACTATTTAACGATAAGATATTTTTTTTTTTTTAATTAAATATTAATCTATATTATTAAGAGAATAAATAAAATTTTGTGGTCAGTGTATTTATATGATAAAATGGGTTTTCATGATTAAATTTGGTATCGTTAGAAAGGTCTTGACTTAGAGTTGTGCCTTTTCATGGGTTCATATCATTCTTACCAATAGTCAATTTATGATGACAAGTATTTAGGCTGCATTCGAAAATGCTCTATTTCTAGATACATAATTAAGAAATGACCTTGTATCTTGTGAACTATTGACATTTTTAAAGATATAAGCTCATACCGATGTTACACTCGTCAAGACCTTTCATTTAAGTACCCACATCAATTTTTTATATATTTATATATTTTATATATATGTATATATGAAAAATATATCAAATATGCATGTAGGTACTCAAATGAAAGATCTTGATGAGTGAAACATCAGGATGAGCTTATATTATTAAAAATATCAATAATTAAGAAATGTCCTTATTGTATCTTGTCAACTATTGACATTTTTAAAGATATAAACTCACCCTGACATTACACTCATCGAGACCTTTCATTTGAGTACCCACATCAATTTTTCATATATAT